GGCATACAGACAGTCTTAGTTAATTTTGTCATAAGTCGGAGCAAAGAGGTTGTCGGTTGAGCAAGAAATCTGAGCATGTTCCGTGTAAATGATAGACAGGTGTTATTTTTGGTTTTAGTAAATCATTTGATCAAGTTCTCCACAAAAAAACTAATTTGGAACTAAATTGTCATTCAAACCTATACACACTCCAGTTGGATAAATTGCCAATAATAGTCGCTGATAGACATGTATAGCCATTTCAAGCCGATTTGGCCAAGAACTGCCCATAGCCACTAATAGTAGACACTTGAATCCATTCATATTCAAAACATCATGAATATTATGTCACTAATTGTCACTAATGTTCATTCTGAAGCGATTTAAGGTGGTATTGTTAAGATGATATGCTATGGCTAGCGATAGCCACTTGAAGTCATTTTCATTCATTGGTATAGAATAGCAGAATATTGCGACCAATAAGCACTAATAGCCATTTTTTGGCAATTCGAGCCAACCAGGTCAATAACAGATGCTTATAGCCAATAATAGCCATTGTAAGCCAACTCAGGCTGCATAAAATCATAAAAGTCGAAATAGCGACTGATCATCATTGATAGTCACTAGAAGTCATTTGGACCCCAAATCCGCCATATAATTTATAAACATGATAATATAGCCAATAATAGCCATATGAAGCCAAATCAGTCTGCACACAATCAGGTAAGTCGAAATAGTGACTAATAGCCATTAATAGCCACTAGAAGTCATTTGAACCACGAATCTGCTATATAAATAAAAAAAATATTATTGTATAGCCAATAATAGTCATTGGAAGCCAACTCAGCCCGCACACAAATAACTCAAAAGTGTGACCAATAGTCACTAATAGTCACTATAAGTCATTTGAACTCCGAATCTGCCATATAATTTATAAATATAATCATATAGCCAATAATAGCCATATAAAGTCAACTCAGTCTTCACACAATGAAATAACTCAAAATAGGGACTGATAATCATGGACAATCACTTGAAGTCATTTGGACCCTAAATCTCAAATATATTCATAAATATGAATGTATAGAAAATGGTAGCCATTGGAAGCCAACTCAGTCTGCACACAACAAATAAGTCGGAAGTCATTTGGACCCCAAATCTGCCATATAATTTATAAACATGATCACATAGCCAATAATAGCCATATAAAGCCAACTCACTCTTCACACAATCAAATAACTCAAAATAGTGGTCAAAAGTCATTAAAAGTAAGTACCAGTAGGTCATTTGAACTGCATATGTCATGTCAAATTTTGATCAAGAAGCCAAAATTAGCCATTGAAAGCCAACTCAGTCCGCGCGCAATCAAATAACTCAAAATAGTTACAAATATTAATTGATTGTCATTAAAAGTCATTTGGAACCGAAATCCGCCATATAATTAGGAAATAAAGTCAAATATCCAATAATAGTCATTCAAATCCAAGCTGAGACAGAACATTACGAATATCACGAAATAGTCACTGATGGTCATTAAAGTCTATCACACTGTCACGATCGTGAACCGGAGGAGGAAAGAGAAGAAGACGAGAAGGAGACCGATGCGTGGTGTGGGGAAAAAGGAAGAAAAGAAGAGGTGTGGAACGAGCATCAAGAGGAACGAGACAGCGCTGGTCCGGCGAACAGCACGGCGACTTCGGCTATGCTCCGGAGGAAGTCCACCCGTGGCCCGCTCCCGGGAGTCCACCGTTAACCAACGGGGCGACTTCGGCTACGCTCCGGAGGAAGCCCACCCGAGGCCCGCTCCCGGGAATCTACCGAGACCAACCAACGAGGCGTCCGCCGTCAGAGCGGCAAGATGATGTTCTTCCCCAAGGAAAGAGACCTGAGAGCGCACCAGAGCAGGGACACTTCAAGGTTGTGAGTGCTAGGGGTGGAGACTTGGGTCTAGGGGACTAAGACAAAACAGTACCGTACGGTTTCTGATGCCTTTCGCTTTTGTTGATTTATGTAAATACATGTACATACGGTGAAATTTCGTAACCTGTTCGTCCGGGTCCTCTGATTTCTGGGTCCGTCTCGGTTGAACGTGACACACACACAGCTGCTTGGTCTATAGGCCCCGAAATAGCATAGGATATTGGCCCAGAGCCATTATAATAGCCCTTGGATGGCAATCTAGTTTATACTCGTCCAAATAACTCAGAAGTACAATCCAATAGTCATTGCAGTCATTAGAGGCTAACAAGGCCCCCAAAACGACAGGTAATACTGAACCGGACACTATTTTTACTTCCTTATAAACACTGACTCTTCGTCGTTAAACAGCCAGTGTAGCATTTACTGGCTGTAATTACTACGTCGTGTAGCATTTCCAGCCTCAGTGGAAGTGAATCTCATATAATTTAAAATAATGACCCATAGAGCCATTACATATCTGAATTGCTGTGTTTTATTTCTAACTGCAAAGAGCCAGTCACTGCAGCTAGTAACAGCCATAGCTTTTAGAGTGGTCCATAAACTGTCAATTTACTAGAAAGTCACTAATTGCCAGTAGGTCATTTGTACCAGGTGTAATACATAGGTCCATATAATCTAAATACTTACTGCTAATATGAAGCGCACCTCATTATTAGAAATATCGTGTATCAGCTCTTGCTCAATCGAAATCGGCACACCGGTTTGCCATATATTCACAATTCCTGATAGTGTGAAGAGAAGAAATAGTGTAGTGAATGACTGTTATCCTTTTAATTTCGAGCTCATAGTTTACCAGCCCACACCAAGAGATGGCAGCACTTCTGTGTCTCCCGACAGCCCCATGTATTTTGGCTCCAGTTTCCAGTATTGGTAGTCAATGGTATTTGACGTTACCCTCGCGTCCAATCTACGCTCAGGGTATGTGAGCAAGCAGTGGCGGACAGGTCTTGGCGCCGACTTTGGAAAGGGTTATTGGCGATCGTTACGATTCAAACGTGTGACTTCGTGCAGCTTTGGACGCGGTACCTGCAGGAAGCTCAGGCGACGGTATTTTGCTCTGCACCGGACTGTTCAAATATTTCTCGAGGACGGAAAACAGGTTCCTGGGATTTCAGACAATGGCTTAACATAAATGGTAGCCATAGGATATTGAACATCGAAATAGCTGAAGTGTCATAATTGGGAAAATAAACCTAGCCCCCAGCGATACAAATGGGACATAATAATCTTAAACGCAGGCTTTTCTGAAAAGAAGAAAGGGCTGCGCGTAAAACCAGATTTTGGCTTTTTACAGCAGTCTTGGCATCGGCGTTCTTGGAGCTTCGTGGCTATGCATTTCCAACGTTCTCGCACTACAATATGTGCAAAAATTAAAAAAAAAAGTTTCGCAAGGGACGCAGCCTTACTGTGTCATGTTACGGTGCCCGCTTATTTTGTAGCATGGCGGCGTCATGTAAACAGAGCAGACGCTGCTTTATAGCCATGATGTAAAATCACGCACAATGAGACAAGCACAAAAGAGGAAGGAGCACAGAACACGGACAAGCGGGATTTTTCTGTGCTCCTACTTTTTTTGTCTTTGTCTTTTTGTGCGCGATTTTTAATCATGTTTCACGTTTGCCAATTCGCTGGCTTACCCTCGGCGCGAAAAATGCTTAGTCACTGAGCTGTGCACGCATGCGCAGCGTCTGATCTACCGCACATCAGAGCAACTGCGCATGCTCAGAAGGCGTTCCACAGCTCAGCAGACAAAGATGGTAGTGTGCGCGAGGCGATTTTTGCAGGGATCTATCTTATGGATTACTCCAATAATCGCTGTCTGCGCGCCGCCATCTTCGTCTACCGGGCTGCGGAATGTGTTCCTAGTATGCGCTGTCTTCGGCGAAAGACGAGACGGCGCGCATGCCTCCAGCCCTCGGCGTTTTTTGCCCGGGGAATAAGGGCTTGAACGGTGGACGTCTAGTGGGGCGAATAAATAGAGAAACGGCGAAAACTGCAACGTCAAAACCATCTTTCTGCGAGTGTGCGTCGACGAAACGAATAGGGAACAACGCCGCGACCTTGCGCCATGCCTTTCTTTATGTTTATTTCTGTCTCCTCGATTTCTACTTATATCCGACCGCAACCCTACGATGCGAGGCAGCCAATCACGCACAGTGACCGACTCACCCAATCACTGGGCGTGATTCCTTTAAAGTTGAGTCGGTCAAAAACAAACGCGCAAAAAAAAAAAAAAGAAAAAAAAAAGAAAGAGCGCCGTGACGATGCAGTTTTGTTGCGGCTTGACCGTCTCCGGTGGATTGTAGCGTCAGCGATGGCTGGCCTCGGACCGCGCTCTGACTTGCGGTGAAACGAAGCGCAAGGATGACACTGTTGTATTTGATTCGAAGCGACATTTGCACGCAACCAGTCTCTGGCCTTCCTTTTATTTTCCTCGGAGCGTGCAGCGAAAGCTTGCGCTGCAGAACTTCCTGGCTTCGATCCCCGGCCCCCCGCCCGTTTCGGTCTGAATTTGGTTCGTACCGGCACGCGTTCGTGAAATCACTATACTTCGTTTCAGCTTCGGTCCGAGCGCTGCCGATGTTATGAGCCGAAGGGCAAATCAAACGGCGAAAAAGGCACAACGTCATGGCGTGCTCTCTGCAGTTGATAAAAAATAGCCGGTATTCGCCGTCTCTCTGTGCGCACTCATCTGCCGGCTAGTCCTAACGCAGAGAGCACGCCATGACGTTGACCCTCTTTCGCTGTTTGATTGGCCCTCCTGCTCATAACATCGGCCGCGCTCGGACCGAAGCTGAAACGAAGTATAGTGCGTGATGCACGTTAAAAAACCCAGGTTAGCGGTTGTACTGCACTGGCTAAATTTCTTATCTACAGCTGGGTGACGCGTAGCACCATTCAGGCTGTATAAGTATAAAAGCAACACAATTCTTTCTTTTTTTTCCTTGTACTTCCGTAAAGGGGGTTGCTTCTGTTTGTGAGCATCGATTCCGCCGATACGCTATCCGCCGCCGCGCACCACGTGACAGGTTGACAACAGCCGCAGGGTCGAAGATAAGGGCAGGATAAGCGATAAGAGCGGCCCCTCCCACGCACCGCGTCCGTACGCGTTGGTCGGGAACACCGGTGACGCCGGGAAATGTCTCCGGAAGATTTCTCCAGCAAGACAGAGGGCATTCGGCGTGCCTTTCCGGCGTGCTCTGGATGGCAGCGCTCGTGTTAACTTTTGTGCGCTCGTCGTTTGCGGCTTCTACGCGTTCCCTGCGACGTCCGGTTTTTAGGCCGTTCGCCTGCAGTCTGCACGCCGCATCAGCTGCACGGATTATCGTGGTCGTATGCGTCGGCGTCTTTATTGCAGCTGTAAACGGTAAGCCCTTGTCTCTTTAACGTCTGACAGACTGACTGACTGGGTCAACTGACACCTCTAGAGGGGTTGTCAGTCGACCCGTTCGAGGGAGACTGTCGTATCTGTCCTTGGAAAAGCAGGGTCGAAAGTCGGACCCGTTTCGGGTTTCGAAAAAGGCAATTTCGCAATAGAGCCCTTTTAATTTGTAAGTTGCTTTGATCCGGAAGGAATGCGTGGTTTTCCACTTCTGCGTGCACACCTTTGTAAGATGTTGCAATATTTAAGTTCAATTATCGTTAGATATCGATGTCGTAGTTAAAGTGATGCTACGATCGAACGTTGAGGATGCAGCTTAACGTCGAATGTTTTGCTGATAAAATACCCAGACAGGCGAGCAGGTGACAATTCATCCTTGGAAAAACCTCGAGATTGACGAAATCAGAAAAAAGGGAACACCACACTCGGAAGAGTAGTGCTATACGCACGACGTCGTGCATCGCGACCGGAAATGGCTATTCGCACGACACGAAACTTTTTGCTTCTCCCTTGGTTTATGGGAGAGAGAGAGAGAGAGAGAGAGAGAAGGGGGGGGGGGCTTGGGTAAAAGCATGGCAGCGAATCACGCGCTACATTTTAGCAGCTACCATAGTGAAAAATAAAATACTACCGTATATGAGATGGACTGTCAAAACAAAGCTGCCGAAACCTTTCACGTAGCTCCGCGCAAAAAAAAAAAAAAAAAAAAGTTCTTGCGTAGTTTTGTGGCTACGCGTCGGCTTCACACACAGTGGACAGGTGTTCCTTTATTTTTTTCTGAAGCATTTGGGCGGTTTAGGCAACGTATTTTCTTTCACAACTATCGCTCTAAAAATCAAATACGTTGTCGCCGAAGCGTCACAGGACGACAGGGAGCTAAATTCCACCATTGAATTTACTAAATGGCATGTGCTTCCCGCGTCGTGCGTATAGCCATTTTCACTTGAGGTGCACGACGTCGTGCCTCACACATCACTCCACACAGAATGTGTTGTCTCTTTTTTATTTTTCTTCAGTCTCTAGGTTTTTCACATCCGAAGTAGAAACTTTTACTCTCCAAATAGAAAGAGGTAAAATGTGACCTTGTATATCTTTGGGAACGATCTAGGAAGTGTAGGAGAGGAGATGCTTCAGAAAATTAGGTTCAGATATGCACAGAAGAGCATTCCACATGCCACTCCGCATGGGGTTTCTTGAAGATTGAAACGAGCCTAGGTTCCGTTGTTACTAATGCCAAATGTTAAGCCTGGTTCATACTCATGCGTTCGGTTATAACAGAGTGCGCTGTGGGACCTTGTGCTCCCCTGTGTTTTATTATGTCGGTTTGATGTATGGACGCATGGATGAATATATGAATGTGACTGAACATCTTCATTGGGGCGGCGGCGTGCTCCACCTGCCAAAGCGTTTATTTCAATAGTCTCAGATTAGGACAATAAACAAAGAAATAAATTATACCAGTAAGGTAAGCTTTAATGTTAATGGACCGTTTTTTTCTTACATAAAAAAAAGGGATAAGCGCCTGTTCTCTTGACCAAATCATCCGAGCGGGAGTTGGGAGGGAAATGGAATGGATAAAAAGATGGGTGACTCAATGTACTATGAGAGATTGGTCTCTCGCACGAAAGAAAGCGGAGAGTCCAAGATCTGCTTGCGGTGGTCGGGTTAATGTAGAATAGTTAACGGCAGTATCGCCTTCCTTTTGCTTTCGCCGCCGCTACTCTTTGGCGAAGAAAGGTCCACGTGTATCAAATTTTACTGTTCTTGCGGGGAAAAACCTTGCGGAGCGTCGGGTTTAGGGCGAAAAATGTTTCGCTCTGCTCTTGTGAAATGCAAATCTCGCACTGAAGTATACATTTATTTTCTTTATTTCTCCTTAAGGGCCCGATAGGCCATTATATAAGGGGTATGTGAGTGACGATAATACATCACGCCGAGATATAAAAATGCAAAATAAAACAAAATTCGACTAGTAATAGAAACCGCACACAGTGGCTATCATGCAGGACAGTGGTGGTTAGCAGAGATGTAAGGGGACAGACTGGCGGAAACAGGATGGTTTTAAATTAAGCACTACTTCCTCAGAGAGTTCCCGGAGGTCATAGCCTGTGAAAAAATGAGGTGTTAAAGGCTAATGTTTTGCCTCTTTTACGTTTAAAGGAGCGACTTCGATAGAGGCAAGATGATAGCCTATCTGGAGGTAAAAGAAGGATGTCATATGAACTTTTTTTTTTCTTTTTTTTGTGATAAAACTTATGCATGAGAAACATTCGAGAACTTAATCTGCGATCAGATAGTAATGGAAGCTCTAGGTCTGTTTTAGTTTTGTTAAACTGATGCTTTAGGAATACGCTGATGCAATGAATATAGTTGCACGGTTTTTGGTTTGGTTCATGGTTATGTCTGAGGTAGGCTTGTGAAGGATGCCAGATAGATGAGGCATATTCTAGTTTTGGGCGGAGAAACGTTACGTAGGCCAGTTTTCTTAGACGAGAGGATGCTGATTTCAGGTGGCGTACCCGAGGGTGCGAGATGCTTTAGTTCTAACAATGTGGATATGCTGATTCCATGGGAGTGAGACAACCAAATGAAAAGCAACATTCTTATATAATAATGTAATGTCGATTATAACGCACCCTAGAAAGTATGAATAAAGAATTTTCCCGTGTGAAAGATATGCTTGATTTTCTCGCGGTTAAGAGGCATAAGCATTTATCGCAACAAGCACGAATTCGGGTTAGGTTACTCTGTAGAGTTACGTGATCGGCGAGGTTTTGATACGGGATGGTAAATCACGCAGTCGTTGGCGAACAGGCCGAGTTTTGAGCCGATGACCTGCAGAAGGTCTTTTATGTATATAAAAAATAAAAGTGAGGAAAGTCCTGCGCCCTGGAATACAGCTGAAGTTACGATTGAAAAGGGTGATTTATGGTTATTAGCTATTGTGAACTCCACTAGAGAAGTGAGCAAATCTTGAATTAAGGAGATGATGGCTGGCGTGTCAAGGCCAAGAACCGAAAACTTAAAAAGAATGCGATTATGTGGTACTTCATCGAAGGCCTTATAAAAATCTAGGAATATGGCAATATTTGATAGTTATTGTTATTCACGTTAAGATGCAAGTCGTGAGTAAATCCGGCAAGTTGGTTTCGCAAGAACGATTTTTTGAGAAATCCATGTTGATAAGGGTAAATAAAAACAATCCAGTTATGGGGATTAATGATGGTGGAGCTGGGAGTATATGTTTCAAAAGTTCTGATGAAACGCTAGTTAGTGTTGGCCGGGCGAGGGTCGTTACGAAAGGGGGCCTTGGAAGCCTCCCAGCTTGCGTTCGAGCTTGTAACAGAGCAGGGTGAGAACCTTGTCGGTCGAAGACATGGCCCGTGTCACTGGTCCGGCTGACTCTCTTGCGATAGAAAAGACAAGTCTTAAGGCCCGTTCCCACTGCGCCATTTTCTTACGTTGCGTTACGTTACGAAATATTACGTTGAAATCACCGGGACCTCTGCGCCTTATATTAAGGTGCAACCCCACCGTGCATGACGTTTTGGTGCTTTTCCGACGGCTTATAACTTTCTTTCTATGTATCTTACAATTATAAAGTTAGTGTCAAATTAAAGAGCAGTTTTTCAACAATGCTTTAATGTCTTGATATTACGATTATTTTTAGTTGTTAGTTAATTATTTGGCTTTTAATAGAGCACAGTCTCCAATATTGAAAAAATTATTTCTCGAGTTCTAACGTCCCATCGTCCAGGATATTTACGTGAGCGTTCGGTTAGATGTAATAAAATAAGAAAAGTAAGCAACGAACTGTACAGACAACGTATATTTTAAAATCAAAAATAAAGTTTAAAATTGTAATATTTTATGACGCTATCAAAACGGAATCACGTCAACTAATCAAAATAACGAGACATTAAATTATGAAGCATTCTTCGATATTACATTTTCCAGAACTTCCATATTGATATATTACACGTTAAGAATGTTATAAGACCTCAAACTTTTCCCATTCAGTTACGGCAAATTGTAGTTTCTTAATATAAAGTACAGATGGTGACACGTGTTCAAGAGCAGCTTGATGTGCATTTTCCGTCGTGTGCCGCTTGGAACGCCACGTGAAAGACAGAAAAAGCGCCAGATGTCAGGGTGTCAGATGCCTGGATGCCCGCAGTGAGCGAGCAAGAGATGTGAGAACAACAAGCGCGAGGCTGCGGGTGCACCACAGCTATTTTTGCGCGCGTTCTACTGTGCGTCGGTACACATGCCCGACGCGATCCAAATGAAATGGGCGCCATGAAATGCATTCTGCCATTTCAGATTCGGCCACGTATGCGAAAACATTTTAATGTTTTTATCACTTGCATAAATCATTTACGATATCAAGCTATGCTTGTCGGAATGGTTCGACTATATTTTGTTTCAAAAACCACCTCGGTGGCTCTTAAGTGGCAATGACATTAAAACGTCTCAGTTCCTCTCAGCCAACGCGCTGGCCCATGAATCTATATTTGTCGGGTTCAAATATCGGCCGAGGTGCTCGCAATCCGACGGAGGCCAATCTGAGATTTCGGTTGCACGTCAAAAAATCTACGGTTAGCCAAAATAAACCCGCAATAATTTCTTTTTTAATTTGGGCGTGTGAATAGCTTTTTGTTGGTTTGGCTTGTGAAACCCTAAGATCTGAATATCTTCTTTGCTTTACCTTAGTTCGGAGCGCATCCAATGCTACGGGCTGATGAAGCCACTGAAGCAGCGCCAAGAGCGCGAAGTTAAGCTGTTCTAAGTACAAAACAAGCGTGTTGGTAACGGTAATTAGACACGAGGAAGATACATAGAAAGTCCTTTACTTCCCTGGCTCTACACCCTCTCCCTTCGCTTTCCCACTTTCCAGTGTAGCGTCTTTCACCCTCCCCTCCTTCACCTATATATGCAAACTTCGGGTCAATAAATGTTGTTGCTAGTTGGAAGTCTTCGTTGTC